GGCTCCTGGCCTTACTACTAGTAACAAGAAGCTACTAGGAGCAAAGGGCATCGCTACTAGGAGCAAGGACGCTACTAAGGGCGTTGGATGTTGTGGGGCCTTGCCTTTGGGTCAGAGCACGAGAGGTGAGGAGCTGCGACGGATGAGCTGCTACAGCGGACATGGTGATCCTGGAGGAAGTGCCAGGCGTTGGGTGGTTGGCATCAATGGGGCGATGTAGGAAATTAGGAGCAAATGCTATCGAACTAGCGTCGTAGCAGCTTGCCCAAAGACACAAAGACCTGAGGTCCTATGCCGAGGGCATGGTTCTTAGAGGGAACAGGAGCGGCTTGAGTCTTGCAGAACATTTTGCGAACTCAGACTGGGGTTTGTTTGGAGGCACTCTAATTTGAACTGCCTTCTATTGATTCTATTGATTGGCCAATGATATCAGAAGGGTGTGCAGTGCAGTGTGCTACTCTAGGGCCAGGGGAGCATGATCTCGACCTGCTAGGGCCTCTTGACTGGGCTTTGAGGGCATCTCTCTCTCTCTCTCTTCCCCGTATTTGCCTTTCCTTTTCACCTTCACTGCGCTGCACAGCCCGCTTCGCATGTTGACCAGATCCGTTCGATCTGCATGGCGCCTTAGGCCATCCGCATCGGAGCAGCTCCTGTCCATTGAGCACCACAGGGAGTGAAGATTTCCAGGTGTGCTCCGGCCGTTGAAAGCTCCGCCCGTTGAAAGGCTACACGAAGCTAGGACGCCGAAGTGAAGAGTTCAATTCCTTTGGTCGAAGCTATTGAGAAGTTTGGTCATTTGAGCAGCAGTGGGTCCCGGAACAATTATATAGATTGTACGTGGAAATGCGGATTTTCTTCCTGTCAGCCACTCAGCCACTCAGCCACTCAAGATCCTGAGTGGCTGAGTGGCTGAGTCGCTGACACGAAGAAAGCCGGAGTGGCTGAGTGGCTGAGTGGCTGACAGGAACAACATCCTGAGTGGTTGAGTGGCTGAGTGGTTGACAGGAAGAAATGTCGGCACACGAAAAGCGTTTGTACGAGCTTTCTTTGCGAAAAGCGTTTGTACGAGCTTTCTTTGCCAGGGGCTGTCTCAAGGGGGGCCTCTACCTCCAGCTTTGCCCTTAGAATGTAGTTGCAGCAACCTTTGTCATGTGTGCTGGCGGAGATTTTGGTGGGGATCCATTGGTTCGTCGGTTTGAAGTGTTGTTTGATTCTTTTTGGTCACTAAGTGGTGTCCAGGTGGATGCGGATGGCGAGGTGTCGGGAACTCGATGGATCATTGGGTATTGAAGAGTATAGTTCGACATCCCCACAACTCATTTGGAGTTCTTGGCCTCACATCCCCAGGCCGAACTGGGGAAGTGAGCAAGTGGAGCTGCTCTGCCAGAAGGCCGGCCAGGGCAGACCACTAGGTGTCACATAGGGTGCGGACGTCATAAGATCTGGTTTCGCAGCCCACCAGGCGCAAAGCCTGGTCCGTCAGATGGGTGCCCAAGTCGACTTCTCAGTCAAGTCCAGGTTGAGAGAGGCCCCTTTGAACAAGCCTTGAAGCATTTTCATCCATTTTCAACTTTTCTTTCATCTCTGGCCATCCACTTCAGCATGAAGCGCTCCCTCCATGCTTAACCTGCGAGTCTGCGAACCTCGGACCTGAGAGTCGTGTCAAACGACCCAAGGCGTTGGGCTTCGACACGTCGCGACCTCCGAGTGCTCGATCAAGCCCATGCATCAAGGCACGGTTTCATTGGGGGCGTGGGTTTAGCATGGTTTAGCTAGGTTTATATAGCTGGGTCGATATTGGAAACAAGTCTCGTGATGACTCATTCTGCTGGGTAGAGGGTGGGTGTTCCCATGCGACCATGATCTACCTCCCATACTCATCATGACTTATGAAGAGCAAAGTATGACAAACAATCCTCGAACATGCTCCTAGCACACCCAAGTCAGATGATCACAAAGAACAAAGAACAAAGAACCATGATGACACTTGCCGCTTGCAGTTTTGAAGGCCCCAGAGGGTCTCAGAAGAGGAAGGCCAGGGAGTTGCTCTGCCCACCGTTTTTGCATTTCCAGGTCTCACCACCCCAGGCTTCGCCATGTACGCGGGGAGCCAGGTTCAACGTGTAGAAATGGCCAGAATTCAACGAGTGAAGTCATGGTAGGGTGATTGGCCTCCAAGGCCGACTCCTCACCGCAATGACCTTAGCTGTACGCCAATCATAGCAACTATATACGCAAGTCCAGACCGTACCTTGAGCAGAAACCTGTGCAAGGTGCTGGGCCAGGGCTGAACTTCAGCCCAGGACCTCGTGCCGGGGTCTTGAATCTTGTGAACCCGAGCTGAGGTTTTGCAATCGCACCACGATTCTCAGATATTCTCGGCATCAACTTGAGGTTGAGGGTTTTTTTCCGCAACCGACGGTCTCATCCATGAGCTAGTGGTCGGATAAGAGGCTGCGGTTAGTTAGGCTCAAGCCAGATTCAAGCAGAAACAATCACTGGACTTGTAAATGCACAAAATATAGCAGACCACAATTCCATATAGCTTCAAAAGGGGGTATCACGAAATATTGCACAAAATGACCCGCAAAGGCTCTGAAAGCACGTTTGGACGCTCATCGGACCGTCCGCCATTCCTTTGCTCCTCGCTACCGCCGCCGATGCTTCCGGGTGGAACCGTGTCGGTCGGGATGGACGCCTGCCTGATGGATCGAGCGAAGTCAGGCGTGTGGTTTTCGGGACGGCGACGTGGTTTTTCACTCAGAGCATTCTTGTCCGAACAGTTTGAGTTTGAATAATTTTTGAGAGATAAAATAGCCCCAACATCCGCTTGTGGGATCTCGGCCCCGCGCTCACGCCCTTGAGTTGTCTATGCTCACATTGCGTTTGGAAGTCAAAAAGGCTCGACTTCACCAGGTAGCTCCTAGTAGCTTCTTGTTCCTAGTAGTAAGGCCAGGAGCCCCTAATAGCGTCCTTGCTCCTAGTAGCGATGCCAGGAGCCCCTAGTAGCTTTTGGTCAATCGCTGAGCTTCACCAGGCATGGGGACTCAACATCGCCTCCGACCGATCCCGCTGTCTCTGCGGGATCTGGACGCGACTGCTCCAAGGCAAGCTCAGATCTTTCTTAGTAGCAAAAAGCTACTAGGTGGAGGCCATCGCTGCTAGGTTGGAGGCCATCGCTACTAGTATATAACAATAAAGCATCCTTTTTAAAAGCCTTGTGACGAAGCTTTTGAAACTCAGCTGTTGAGTGAACTTGGGTCACCTGTCCTTCTTTGGGGCACTCGAGCCATCCAGGCGAAGGCCCCAGAGCGCTCCAGTAGTCCTGCCGACCGGCGTAAAGAGTGGACGGCCATGGCCTGTGCAGCAAGATGCAGATCTCCAAAGGAGGTTTCTTGTAGATAACTGGTTTTCTTTGTCCCCTTTTCTGATTGATGGGCGCCTTATTACAGTGCCTCACAGTGCCTCACAGTTACAGCCATCATTCTGGCTTCTTTCGGGTATTGAAACGTAGACGGGCCATCTACTAATCTACTACAGCATGTTGGGCTGAAGAAGCTGAGTCGTTGAAAGAGCTGAGGCTCAAGGCCTTGGACCAGATCTTCACCCGCCTGGGCTGGACCAGTTCGCAGTCTGCACATAAGCTTCAGCCAGCATTTGGTGTGCGACGGCGGCATGATCCGTCTCCAGGCCTAGATTTGGCAAGATTTTGCAAGGCTTGTTCTTTCGAAAGCTCCCTTCTCCTTCAGGACCCGCAAGCCTAGAGTTCCTTCGAATCATTCAAAGATGAAGAGCTTGTGTTGAGGCAGTTCGTTTTACATTGCCACTACATTCCAGACTAGACAATCAGAGTTTCCCTTGGTTCTAGTTGTGCTCCACTGAGGTTCTGGATGTATCGGCAGGATGATGTGATTCATCCGCGCTGCCAGCGCCCTGCACCGAGGCACCCTGCACCCAGGCAGCCTGCACCTGGGCGCCCAGCTCCCACAGTGATGCCTGGAAGGGGTGTGGCGACCAATGTGCGTGGTCTCGAGAAGACACAAGGTGACTTGCCGAAGAGGATGGGGGGGCCAAGATCATTTCAAGAGCAGGCATAGAAGTGGCTGACCACCTTTTCAAAAAGGACGACGCTGGTTAACATAGGCTGCCCTACCTTCTTGTTAACATATATGCCGTACCTTCTAGCCCCAACTTGAAATATGGGTTGCCGCCCGGCGTTCAACGCATTTTGTCGGGACCCCTGCAGGATCGTGCAAGAGATGATCCCGAAGCTGTTGTTCCCAGATGCCAGTGACATGGAGGAGGCCTGTAAGAAACTCCAGTGCAAACGGACCTGTTGGGGGTGTCCCCTGACGTTGAGCTCCAGAGTTGCTTTTCCGTTGGAGATCTCTCAGGCAGACAGCGACCAGGAAGCTCCACAGGCAGAAGGTCAGGGCCCTAGAGTCCTAGAGTGGGAGGCTACGAGTGGATGTAGCCGGTGTGGGCAGTGCACATGAGGACATCTTAGCAGCAACACCCCAGTCAAGATGCCTTGTAGCATGTGGTAGCATCAGCCAGAGGGGATTCCACACATGTTAAGATTTTGGCTTCCCAGCACTGCCTAGAAATTCAATGCATCATGCTGAGGATCCGACGGTGGCAGCCATACTGAGACCTACTCAGAAATTGAAGAGGATCCTACAGCTGTAGAGTACGAGGACAGCTTTGAAGAGGAAGATTGATGATTGGTGATCGATTTGAGGTGCTAGCCGAAAAATTGGATGGCACTTTGTACATATTTGTGCAACTTTTTGGGTGGCCGAAGTATGCATGAACACTGTGCGCTTCTGCTGACTTTCGCCAGCGGCGGAAACCGCCGAGCCGCGACTGGCTGCCAAAAGCTGTGACGGTGGCGGCGGCCCACTCACCACTGCTGGTTGGTTTGGCACTGTGGGGAATTGCTGGAATTTGCCTGCTGCAGTTGAGAAGTGCAAGAGTCATTGTTGCTGAAAACCACCGGTTTCCCGTATATATATATATACATATATAACTACGCCTAATTACGCCATGCCGCTTTGGAAGACGCTGAGGTGCTGCCCGACATCACCAATCTTTCCCGTGAGGCGAGGTATTGAGTTGCAATGATGCGACGTCTTTTCCAAGCACCATCGACTCCATAAAGATCAGGTGGACTCACCTCGCACAGTGTGCAACTTTGCAACCTTATGTTGTTTGGTGTTCAGACCGACGTGCCCGCAGCGTTGGGTGCTTGTCCTATTGCGCTTGTGGTGCCTATCCTGATTCATGTTCTCGATTAATGTCTGCAGGATGTGGCCGATTTCAGACACCGTTTGTCGCAAGTGGAGCAGGCCCTCGAATGTCGTCGTCGTCTTTTTGTAGACCTAAGCGAGTTTGGCGAAACTTCTGCACTCCCATCTGTTCGCTTGCACCTTGCACAACACAGTGGACGTCCAGTTCGACCGAGGCCCTACACCTCGGTCAAGCACCCAACTCTGAGGCCCATAGCTTTGAAATCCTTGCGGCGTCCCAGCATGACTCGCATGACTCGACTGTAGAGGTCTTGAAGCTCCGGGGCCGGATGCAAACTGTGCGATGCTGAGCAAAATGCCGAGAGAAATCACGGCTGCGCGATGTGATTTTGAGTTGTCCTCTTCAGGGTGCGACGAATAGCAGTGCTTCTGTCTTGCCTCACCTACCGTCATGAGGTCGAATCTGAACTAGTGGATGTTCGCGCTGAACTGAGGGAGGCCATCGCCATATTCACTCTCTTGGGCGATCAAGCTCTCTGTTGTCCACTAGATTCTGCAAATAACATCAAGCAACTAAGAACCAGTATGCAGCCTGAAGTGCTTTTTACCATCTTTATGTGAGATTCATTCTTCCCCAATCCCTAGGGCCCAGGGTCTTCTGGGAGGTCCGTGCCGCCGTGTCGCGCCTCTCGGAGAAGATGGATGTGCCGGAGCCGCTCGGGACACCGGGGCGGAGGACTTAGGGGATGGAGCTGCCAGGGTGTCATTCCCATGCAGGGATGGTGCTCAGAGCCTTGAAAAGATGCCCACATACCATGTTACTTACTTTCTCCGTATATGCACATATTGCACAGTAGGTTGCATACCCAATATGGACTTCAAGCTATCTTTTTGAGTGACATCATGTTCTTTTGGGTCCAAGTCAAAGTTTGATTTTGGACGGTTTGAGGAGGGTGGGCAGGATGGGCAGGATGGGCCGTTGTTTCTGAGGCTCATCCGGACCATGCCCAGCTCAAAGCAGCCGGTGAGGCAGCCGCCGGTACGCTGTGCACCTGCTTCGTGGACACTCTGTGTTAACTGAAGTGCCAAACAGAACTATGGTCCTTTGAAATATCAATTGATCACAGGGAGCGGGATGGTGCGGAGGAAGACCCGTAGAGCTACTTGCGACAGGCTGCCATGCAACCAGTGCCAGACTGTGGCTTGGATGCCAGAAGTGCTGGTGAGAGGCCAACTTGTGTTGCATGGGTCTTGACAATGGTCTGGTTCTTGAACTGTGAAGTCCCCACCATTTGTTGTGTGGAGCCTTCAATTAGATTCAGCTCGATTGTCTCGATTTCATGCTCTGCTGGCAGCCCAGGTGCCACAGCAGGTGCCACAGCAGATGCCACAGCAGGTGCCGCAGCAAGCGCCCCCAAGTATTGATCAAGCAAGGGGCCCAGTGGGCCATTGCTGCAGGGTGGACTTCAGATCTCCCTTGCCATGATACCATGTTTCAGAGAATTTTTCACATCCTTGACATTAAATAAGATTTAAGATTTTGCAAGCTGCGCACTGTAGAGCCTTTGTGATCAAGGAGGTTCATGATATCTACTTGATCATCTTGATCATTTGTGTTATCCAAAGCTCTGAAATCCACTCTGAATGATCCTCCTCGTTCTGGTGCAAAGAGATTCATCCGCCCAGCTTCTGGCTCAGCCTGTTTCAATTTGCACGGGATCCTGGATTGCAGCTGGTGGTCATCAAGGATCCGATAGTCCATTTGACTATACAAGGAGCTGGTCATCTCTGGAGCTGGAAGACTGTGCGACAAACGGGCACCCAATCTTAGTAGGAAAGGTCTTAGCGTGTGACATGGCAGAGCTAACACAATAAGACTGTGCAGATCAGAGGAGAGAAAGGATAGAAGTGGTTCGTTGTTTGAGCGCTGCCGGAGCCCGGAGCCATGAGCCTCTTAGGGGCGGGCTACGACAGTGAGGGGGAAGAGAGTGGTGAAGATGCACCCACCGCACCGCTGCAGGCGTCTTTGTTTTCTGTGTGTTTCTCTTCACCGCTGCTGGGGCTGGGTGCACACGGGAAGCGTTCTGTTTGGGTGTTGCTCAAATTTTCTGGGAGGCCTCGGATGCCTCGCCCAGTTCAGAGGGCGTGAAACTAAGATGGGTTGGTGTTGAGCACGCTTTCCAACTGGGCGTTCGCGCTGCACACAAGCAACAAGAGCTGCAAGAAAGCCTTTTTTTGGAGCCCTACCGTTGGGGCTGCATGAGTCTCAGCTGTGAAGATGGTTAGGAATCGAGGAATATATAGCTTGAGGATGTTTGAGGAACCTTGGGAAAGGTGTTGGCTCCAAAACGCTGAGGTGACCCATCTGACTTGGCATTGCTCAAAAAGCGAAAGGCTCACCTGAGCCCTCGATGCCGATTTGTTGAGTGCGAGCTCATGCAGCCTTCGCTTGGATGTTCCTAGCAAATTAGGGGCCTCATTGAGCATGAACAGGACATTTGCCAGTCATGCTTTGGTCGTCTACTTCTGTCCACCACTGTCCATCGCTGCCAGATCGACTACTCCAAGCTGCCAACATCCAGGCCAGCTGCTGCCAGCTGCAGCTAATCACGAAAGCTAGCGAAGCTAGCTGGAGTTACTCTTGCGATAACAAGGTTTCTGATTTTTCAGGTCGAAGACCCCCCCCCCCCCCCCCCCCCCCCCCCCCCCCCCCCCCCCCCCCCCGCCCTCCTCCCTCCCCCCCCTCCTTCTTCTTTCCCCCTCTTCTCCCGCCCCCCCCCCCCTCTCCTCCCACCTCCCCCTCTCTCCTCCTCTCCTCCTCCTTGTCTTCCTCCCATCTTCCCTCCCTCCCTCCTCCCTCTTCGCAAGTTCGACTCCGTCCTGTCGTCGCTCTTTGGCATGCGGTTAGCGTTGCGTATCTTGCGGCCGCACTCGCTCACTCTCACTCTCACTCTCTCACTGTCTCACTGTCTCACTGTCTCTCTCATCTCTCTCATCTCTCTCATCTCTTTCTCATCTCTCTCATCTCTCTCTCCTCTCTCTCTCTCTCTCCTCTCTGTCTCTCGTCTTTCCGTCTCTCTTCTCTCTCTTCTCTCGCAGGAGGATCCGGGCAAAGAGCCACATATAAAGGACTCTTCACCCCTGCCTCCAAAAAGAGCGCCGTGTTTTTTCCTACCTCGCTGCCCTCCACTTTCCCATTCTGGAGCGCTAGCTTTCGCCCCCCCCTTGGCCTCAAGTGATCTCGTTATATATTTGTTTGTTTTGTTTGATGGGTGAGGACCTCTTGTATATGTGGCGAAATCTGACTTAGCGTCCTCCCGTAAAGGGAATGGACAGGTTTGCCAGACCGCAGGTCTCAGTCGTACGACGTAGCGTTCTGGTAACCGCTGGTGGCCAGGAAACTGAACTTGGAGCCACCCAAGGCCGCGGAAGAGGAAGTCGAAGCTCCTTTGAAAAAGGCGCGCGATGTGCCTGTGACCTGTGCCACGGCGGGGCGCGCACGGCGCGGCGCGCACCTGACGCGGTGAGGCGGCTCAATTGGCGGCCAACCCAGTGGGTCAGAGCTTGCTGGCTGCACTGCCACCCCCGAAGGCGGGCACCAGCGGAGTATCCGATATTCTGTTGAAGTGTGTGGGGGATTGTTGTGAGTTTGGGACTGAGCTTTGGACGCGCTCCTCCCTCCTCAACATGATGAGCCGGCCTTTGGAGGTCACTCTGGGCAAGGAGACCTCAAGCTCTATTAGACTAGACCTTTCGGATGCAGCTTGGCGAGCACAGTCAAAGATCCTGTTGAAATCTGTTGAATCCGTTGAACTACTTTTGACATGTGGTTGGTTTGAACGTGTTGAATGCCTAACCAGACCCGTGACGTCCTTCGTTGCGCAGACTATGGCGTTCTTCATCGTTCTTCGCGTCGCTTCGCGTGGCCCCCGATCGTGACGCGACGGTCGTGGGAACCAACCCCACTCAGGTGATCACCACTCCGAGGACTGCGGGACTCGGTGGGGGGTTCGACAGGCAGGTGGAGAGTTGCTCGTTTGGCTGTGCACAGGGAGTGCGAAGAGGGTGTGTAGGACGTCGGACCTACCTTAGGTATTGAGCTGAATGCCTTTCCGCATCACTTCGCCAGGGAGAAAAGCCGCGTCCCGGTCGAGGGGCTGTTGCGACCGGAAAACTTTGCAGACGACGATGAGGAGGTGCCCCAAGCCAAACGGCCAAATGTAAAATTGGCAAGCTGTGATGAGCTTTGCGGCACTGTTTAGCGGAGGTTCAGCCTTCCCGAACTTGCAGTCCTTGCCAACTTGCCAATATGTTTCTGTAAACTGGTTCATCATCTTGGGGTCCTTTTTGTCCATTCAACTTCTCTTAAAGATGTTTGGCGAAGTGCAGGCGGCGCAAGTCCCTGCAAACGTCTTGAACCATCCCATGTTCTCCACGGAAGCGTTGCTTGCCTGACATTGGATTGTCTTGTGCAGAGACGGTTGGTGGCACTCATGTTGTCCAGACTGACACAAGACAAGCTTGCTTTTCAAGATGAAGACGGGAATGTTAAGAAGCCTCCATTCTAGGCAATGTGCGAGTGCGAGGCCCTACCACCTTTGTCATCCTTGATCCATCCATGCTGAACCAAGTGTGTCAGGGTCGAAACCTTTGACCTGTTTTCACGCGCAGCCTGAATAGCCCGGTACTGTAGGCTATTTTGTTCTTTTGTTGAGGGTATGTTCACCAGGGTTCGGCGAGGCCATGACACACGCACGGCTCAGGGTCCAGCCAGACGGTCCTTCTGCAGAAGATTTGTTGGAGTTGCAGCTGGCAGCAGCATAGTGGTACGGGTGGATTTGGGAGGCAAACCCATTGTGGCTTAGACATAGGCTAGGCTGTTCTTGACAGATTGCAGACTTACTTCACCTATATTATACATATATTTATGTTAAGTTGTGTTGCTACTGTTCCTTAACCCTGTGGGGTTGATGACCTAGCAGTAGAACACTGGGGAAACTGTTTTTAAACCAAGAGATATTTGCCCACCAGCGCACATAAATGTCTCTATGATTTCGAAATTGCACTAGGTTTTCTTAAACCAACAAGGGCAAGGACTCTGGAGATGCCATCATTTAAGCGTGGATGGAAGGGGCTGGCCAATCATTTGGTCTTGGTCACCGATGTGGACAAACCTTTTTGCGGACGACCAATCGCGAGCTCAGGCGTAAGCCTCGACAGTTTGTTGAGGTAAATGCTGAAGACATGAAGGCACTCTTTCTCGCATTGATGGTTTTGCAATGTTCGCTGGTGATGATTCCGCAATCAGAATGGAGGAAACCCTCATCTAGAGACTCGAGACTCTCGAGAAAGCTTATTTCACGCAAAGCCACCACTTTGGCCTATGCAGCGTCTCAAAGCTGAACCCCATTGGCCTTCTTTGCGTTGCCAGGATCCTGACTGGTATATGAAGGATCAGATGAATGGTGGCCCAGGCTACCTCACCAAAAAGCGCGTCTCGGACGACATGTCTATGTGCGCCCTTGAGGCTCCTAACAGCATGGCTCCGTGTAGGAATCATTCCTCCCGGAAGGTACGATGGCAAGGGCTGGCGGCAGACGACGCATGCCAACCCCAGCCGTGTGCAAAAGAGGAAGCACCACATCAATTGGCAGCTTGTTTGCAGATTCGTGACCTGCTCTTCCTGCAACAAGACTAGCAAACAAGTAGCAATAGCATACAATAGCAGGGCAACAGACGCCTTTGGCTTGCAACATTGAGTATATCATCCAGCATGTTCCTTGCTATATAGCTTAGCGCAAGGAATGCCAAAGCATGGTCAATGATTTTCTGATCCTAGGGACCGCTTGCGGGAACATACCTACAGTACTTACCGGCACAACCTCGGTGCCGGGCTGTCTGGCAGAGGATTTAGTTGGTGCTGATGAGACCGGACCACAGAGTAAAATTAGCCAAAGGCAACACAACAACAATGGACAATTATTTACTACAGTGCTGTTCATAACAAGAATGCCACTAAATGTGCTCCTGGCATTACTACTAGGAACAAGGACGCTACTAGGGGCTCTAGGAGCAAGGACGCTACTAGGGGCTCCTGGCCTTACTACTAGGAACAAGAAGCCACTAGGATGCATCAGTACTCAGTACCTGGAAACTTAGTGGAACATGTTCCACTCCCCCGTGCTCTGCACTGGATCTCCCATTCCACAACTCAACTCCCCCACCTTTTTGGGAATGGCTTTTGGCAAGCACTGGGCCGGGTCGTCACCAAATGAGGCTTGCAACCGAAGCCATGGAGAAAGAGGCGGAAATGTTGGATCGCGGATCGCAGAAGATCCTATCCAAGGCACGTGATTTTTCGACCCCACGACTTGTCGTTGGTTTTCCAATGGGGCTTGAACAGAGCGAAGCGGATGGAGAGCTGTTGTA